GAGCGCACTAACCATGAGGCCACTGCGCCTCCCTAAAAATAGCCACTTTACCATATACTTATTTATTTATTTATTTATTTATTAAATATTTATTTAAGCTTGGTTCTATCTTACAATGTCATCATGAAAGAGAGCAGCTTGTTGGGTTGACGCTGTATTTAAAACACTTGTACATGCCATGGATCTCAAATGCCACACAGAAAGAGAAGGGCCGCCACCACAGACCTGCATAGAGTGCAAGAACATAACACTGTGATGAACAGAAGTGAAGTAAGTCTGTCACCCTAACATGTCACGCAGCTTCCAACACTCTAAAGTGCTTTAATTGAATAAATATAATTAATAATGATAATGTTAATAATAATAATAATAATAATAGTAATAGTAATAGTAATAGTAATAGTAATAGTAATAGTAATAGTAATAGTAATAGTAATAGTAATAGTAATAGTAATAGTAATAATAATGATAATGATAAAATAACTTTGTTTGAGAGTGAGTCAAAAGTATTTAGCACTATTGTGCTAATTGGGGACACTGTAACTAAATAAAAAAAATATTTCAAATAGAACATAACCTATTAAGAATCCCAGCTGAAGGGAGGCTGACCAGTTGGCTATTTATACAACACGGTTGAGGGGTTGAACTCTTTGAGAACAAATCCAGATAGCAGCAGGGTGGAGGATTTGAACCAGGGACCTCCAGATTTCAAGTCCAGAGCCCTAAATCATCAGCAATGCTGCCTCCACAATCAATACCTTGTGAACAGGCTCTCTAGTTGAGGATGGGGTGAAGAGAGAGCTGGATGAAACAGAAGGGAGATTGGAAAAGAAAGAAGGAAAAAAGAGGAGACCCACTAAAGCCCCCACCCCCTCAGCCACTTCACACACAGCTAGTTCCTTCTCTACCCTTCCAGGAGTGGCCAGCTCCTTCTCAGCTCTTCCTCCCAACCAGAGTCTGCTCACAGACTATAATTGTATCATTATTTTAAATTGATTGCTCTAATTTACAAATAACTTCAGGCAAGACTTCATTTACTCACCATCCAGTCCTGACTATCATCCACAGCGACACATCCTATCCATGAGCCTAACTGAGGTCTGTGTATGTCCTGGTAAAGCAAATTTGTAACAAAGGATCTCTATCTTGTGTACAGGTAGTAAAAATTACTGTCACAAAGAGTTTAGAGCAGTTTGTTAAAATCACAACCAAAGTAAATTATGTGTTACCCTTTTCCGTTGAAAGCAATTAAATTAATATAAGTTATTAAAGTATAACCATTTTGATTTTTGTACCTCATTTTTCCCTGGTTCTATCATGTCAGTCATTGATCCTTTTATTCTGTAATCTGAAAACAATCACATTTAAGAAAAGACAGCAGCTGCACCTCTACATCCATAACTTGTTCCTTCTTGTTACAATCAACTGTTAAATTTCCATACCCCATAATCTCACAGTGCCATCTTCTGATCCACTTACACATTGATTGCTTTTTGTTCTGAGGCTAAGGCAATGGACATAATCTGTGTGCCCCACAAGGGTATTCTAGAAAAACAGGTATAAAAAAATGCAACAAAATTAATTTTAAAGTACTGTGAATAAAACATCAAATGGTTACTTACAAACCTTTAATTTCTGGGAATGTACACCAAATTATAGCCTGTGATGACACATGCCTTACAACAGATTTCAGACATCTGAACATTCATCAACAGAAAGAACTAACGAAAGTGAAGAATGATCATCGCAGTTAATTTTCCAATTTAAGCAATTGGAAAGAAGAAGCCTGAAAAAATCAGGGCTTCAACGGGATCCCGTGAC